GCTTAGTGGCACCAGTCCGCGGAGCCTGTATGATTCATCCTCCGGTGCTGGCAGAGCCTATCTCCCTTCGCTCTATATATATATTTATATTTATTTCCCCCCCTCTTTTTCCCGTGCGGGAGGTTTCGAGAGGCACCCGGGTCCTGCCGATGTGAAATGGTAGGTACCCATGAAAGACAAATCCCGAGCAGCGTTTTTCCAACTAGGGGGTCAAATTCCAGGCGGCTTTACTGCCGCCGTTATTTTTCCGCCTCTCGGAGGAAAAAAAAACCCACAACAATAACAACAAAAAAACTTTAAATGCGGCGGTAGCCATTTTGCACTAGTGTTTTCCAGATTTGGCTTTTAAAATATTTAGAGCCGTAGCCCAAAATGCTCTGCCTTCCAAACAAAAGAGCCTTGATGCGTATACAAGTGTATCTGTACACAGCTTCACACGCACACTCACGCACACACAATATAATATAGAAAGCTATAACGTATATATTAATCAATATTTTCGCTGCGCTTATTTAACTTAAACAGAACTCGAAGTGGAAGCATTTTATGGCAGCTACTTTTCTTTAGAGTATCTATTTATTTTTTCCAGTGCTAAGAAATGCGAATGTGAATTAAGATACCACAAAAGCAGGGAAGAAGATCCCCGAGTTAATACGACTGATACTTTTCTTTTAAAAAAAAAAAAAAAAGAAAGAAAGAAAGATCGACCCAAGCCCACGAAGCATCAAGAAATGCAGTCCATAATTTAAAGCCCTTTCAGTGTAGAGCTGAGCTCACCGAAACCTCAGTGTAAGCTCAACGGGAACCACAGAAATGCGCCCGCCTCGAAACCTCTTCCCCCGCTTCCCCTGAAGTTTAACGCCGAGTTTTTACTTTAATTCTAGTAGTGCAGATTAGGCGGTTTAGCGGCATTTTAAAAAATCTCCCTGCAATTCATCTTAGCTTTAACTGCAAGTTTATACCCAGGGTTTTATACCACGATTTTTTTTTAAAGGATTTTTCTTCTTTTTGCTATTTGAATATCTTATACACGCGTAAAACTTTTTTTCCTCCCCTGCAGACCATAAGCTCCCAAACGCAGCATAACGAGACGGTCCGACGTAGCGGGAGTTAGGAAAACATAAACGCACGATTTTCTCAAATCACTCGTATTTCTACAATATGAACACTCCTAATTAAAAAAAAATAAAAAATCAATCGCTTATGTCTTCTCACACAGGCACGCCAGGGACACTCACTCACACGCAGATGCTCACCTCAAATACTTAAAAATCTGAACCATTTCTCTAACACTTTAAGCAACACCATCTACACTTTGGAAAGGTGGTTATATACATACATGCCTGTAGCTCGAAAGCTAGGACTTCCACATATATTAAAGAAAGTCATAGATGACTGCAAATGTGCATCTTTTCACCAAGCCTTTTGGGAATTAATAGACTGTGACAAACCTATAGGATTCTCGTAGCAGAAGGAATACAAGGCAAATAATAGTAATAGTAAGCACTAAGGAAAGGCCTGGTAGTGTTTATTAACCGTGGTTCTACTCCCCTGACTTTTCCTCTGTTTCTTCGCTGCTGGGCTGTGTGGAATTTATGAATTTGTTTTCCTTTTTCCATTTCATCCGCCTGTTTTGAAACCATATTTTAATCTGGCGTTCAGTAAGGCAGAGGGCGTTTGCAATCTCAATACGTCGTCTTCGGGTTAAGTATCTGTTAAAATGAAATTCCTTCTCTAACTCTAGCGTTTGGTATCTGGTGTAAGTTTGCCTCCCTCGTCTCCCATGAGTTCCATATACTGTACCTGTAGAAGTAAAGACAAAACGATCGCATTGGACAGGGCCCAGTGA